TCAGGTACATCCAGCTGTCGGATCACAAATAGGACGAAACGCGCGTCCTGGATTCCATTGTCCATCTTTGATTATACTGTTATTTAGAGTTCTCAAAAAAACAAATATTAGAAAATCTTTATTTCTCGAAGTCTGTAATAGTTTACGGGTTCCAAAGGCTGATTGCATTAATTACATTCTATAAGAAAAGCGAATAAACCATAAAATCAAACGCAGTTTATTTTTTTGTTTACTAATGAGTAGTTTGTAATCTTAAAGTGAAATTCTAGGGCTTCCTAATAGAAGCATAGTTCGCATTACGGACGGACACATGGACAATCAATGAAAACCAGAGAGCAATAAACTGCTATTTCGTCCTAGTGTGGGAGTCATTGACAGTGTGTTTTCATAAGTTCTAGTAAGAATCAGTAATCAATAGGATTCAACCTAATCGAGCAATGTAAGTTGGTCTCACAGCATCGCGAATTAATTGAAATCATACATATACAATAGTGATCTAAAGTTTAGATGCTCGCCACAAAACAGAACTTCGTAAACCCTATTATAGTGAGGTTACCGATCCTCACTTCCATACTATAATGAAAAAAGCTTTTCAGTGCTACTTGGATTTTTAATGGTTTTCTAGATCGATCAGTAACGCAAAATATGATGACTCAACCATTTCCACAGACTTTATATTATCAACAAAGAAAGAATCACCAATATCGTAACTTGAAGTGAATTTACTTCACTTTGGTCAATCGTGAAAACTAGACATTACAAGATAGATAATTGTAAGTATAGGGTTGTGGAGATTGTTGTGTTTCACTGAAGTCACAAATTAATGAATGTTAGACAAAAAGTGCTTTCAAGTTTTTAATGATGGTCTAACGTTGATTGATTCATAATTTCAATGAAGTAGCATACGTGTTATAGTGTATTTAGGCAGTATGATTGTCAGGATGACAGTCGTCATATTTTCGAGAAAATAACAAAAAAAACGGGAATTTTGAATTTTTTTAAGTAAACGAAAAGTCGAATCAAGCAAAGAAAGTTTGTTTCAATTATTATTGATCATGACTCTCCCTTTCTCTTTCTTTCTTTCTCACTCACCCTCTCTCTCTCTCTCTCTCTCTCTCTCTCTCTATATATATATATATATATATATATATATATATATATATATATATATATATATATATATATATATGGATTTGAGATAATTGGTACACAGAAGAAATTCCGAAGAATATCAGTGTCAATCTGATGGTCAAACTATTCTGCATAAACTTGTTTGACTAGTTCAAGTATTTAAAGGTTGACGACAAAATGTTTACAAACGGATTAATTAAATATATTATTATTATTATTTATTATTATTAATAGCTTTATTCAATATTATGTTTTTGGTACAATATAGAATTCTCAGCACAAAGTACTTCAACAAGTTTCCGTTTCTTACTTCTTCGTCCATCCTGACGATAAATATTGAATGATCGCCAGTTAGAAGTTAGCAGTCCAGTCAATCGACATCTGAATAATGTACATTCTTCTTGCTGAATATTGCCAGCAACCACGATATCTCTGATTAGGCCTTCTGTAACCTTTACAGCGAAAGGTTGTACACTTTTCAGAAACGTACCTGAATAGGTAGTGCGATTAATAGTCATAATGATGTATTAAAACAAACAAAATTAGATAACTTGTTGAAATATCTAGATGACAGGAACAGGTAGCCCAGATGTTTAAACAGGCCGCCACATAATATGAAGTATACGTAAGTAAATAGTATTGTGACATCCCTACGTGATTATCCTTCAGACAAATGAATTATTCTGATCTTTCCAGTTATTCCGTATGCTACCTTGAGCATACGTGTATGGCAGCACGTATATAACTATATGCATGCTTGTATCTTTCATTTCCATAAATGTTGAATTACGTAAATAAAATAAAGTAAGCTTTTTTGCCACTAGTTTATATGGTATTTTCCTTCGTCTCTTATCGTTCGCCTGTATTATCGAACTTAGAGGACAAGTACTTTCAAGCTGAACTTTTTATGTCTACGATGTTATTGACAGACAATATACGAAACCAAGTGGGATCTATGTTTCATTGAGATCAATAATCTCCCGATCGTTACTGAAGTCAGACAACGGACCTAAAATACACGAAATTCAATCTAAGCTTATATTCTCAATTTAGTCATTTGATTTGTACTACTGCGTACGATATGACTAATTTTTTTTTAAACAACCTCACAATTAATGGTGTTAAGCTAGATAGTAGGTTAAACATGATATCGAACTATTTTTTATGATCATGAGCTCATCATCATGTGATTTGTCAATATGTGACATTGTCATACTGTTTGTCAATAAAACAAACATGAAATGACCTTAAAATATAGTTGAGTTAGATCTACTCTAACAGCTATCACATAATTAGTGACAAACTGCTGCCTTTCTCATAAATCTTCGCTGTGTGTATGACTAGCTTAACAGTGTGTTTGTCTTTCTTTCGTGTTATATGTTATCTAGGTGTTAGGGACGTAGGTTTTTATTTTTGTGTAAGTTATTATATAGGGTGAGTTAAACACCTTACCTAGTTTCTTTAATTTTAGCCTTTACTCATCACTCTATATAGCCTGTGCGTGTTTGATACGACTCATGATTTCAGGGAATAACCAATTGTAGGTCTGATTAGAGTTATGAGTTTACATAGGTTACACACATTGTAAGTGTAGTAGTTTCCTGATTATTATGCTTACACGTTCTAACATTGACCGCAGTATTTATGTATACTACAACTATTTCTTCTTACGGTCATGTAATTTTAAAGATTCATTTCTATCTGGAACTCAAACACTTCCGATCGAGATACAGTGTGAATGTGTACTCTACAGCAAATTCTTCCAATTAGATATTAATACTTTTACAAAAAAGCCTTAATCTTTTTTGTGCGTTGCGACCATTGACAACTGGATCCAATGTTATAGGCTTTAATCTTATTCATTCACTCATCAATTTTATTATCAAAATATTTATGTTGGGGTTCGAATATACACTGTTATGTACTTATACAAATTTTCAATAGAAAACGTGTGCTATTCAACACATTAAATAAACCATGCCTTTAGGCAGTAAATGAGAGATTATAATCAAGAACTTAATTATAATTAATTAATCACACCACTATAGAAATACAAAACTTAAGGCAGGACCATCTGTGAAAAGACTAATCAGACGCGAGTTTTGTATTTTGATGTGAAATTCATCCATTCTTATGGCAAAATAAGAGACAGGATATGTACCTGTGAATTTATCACATATCCATTTCTCAATGTTCAGTATATATAGGGTGTCATGTGTTTCCTGACAATTTTCCGGTGTGCTGTTTCAGATCGACGTATAGTCTAACTTTCTCATTTTATTATATTATTTAAACACAAATATTGGTACAAGGAAGCAACGAATACATATTCACCCTACAAATCAAATGAGACTTGTGTGAGAGCTGTGTTAGTGCCCAATTGCTCAAATTGAAGCAGGTAGTTTTCTTAGGGGACCACACTCGGAAACCTTGACCTAAGGGTCCAAGGCAGTGGAGCATCGTGAGGAGTCTCATGGTAGCCGGTGACTAACGGTTGATTCATAGGTCATTTGTTCCCTCAGGATGCTGGAACCAGTCCACGTGCACCATTGGTTTGGAATCAGGGGTTTTCTAGCTCTCCTATCCGTGTCCACCAACCCGGTTGGTAAGTAATAGCCAACCGTACTTTGACTCTAAACATCGATTGAAGTTGCTCAAGACAATTTTCATATTGTTCGGAAATCGCCCATACTGTTAATGTGGCGGGACACTAACCGGTTGGTAGGACAACTGATGGCAAATTTTTATCGGCTATGACGCTCGAGTGTCGCCTGTCAAATATAAATTGTGACCACTTGGACCGGTGATTTAAAACCGCTGCTTTTTCCCCACGCAGACCGTCAACAACTTATTAGTATCTGTTCCTCTAATAACCAGTTTGGTCTGAATGACTTTCTCGCGAGTATCTTTTGTAGCTCGTCTTCTTCAACGCTTGGTGGCTATCCCTGTCCCTTTACCCAGAAGTGACACTCTTTGCAAGCCCAAATCATAACCACTGGTAAACATAAGGTCTCAACGCAGACTATATCGAAATCACCTACCAAAGCAACAAGCAAAGCATTTCTAGCGTACATAAGTTTTCATAAGAACTCTAGCAAGGACTCGAGTTGTGCTCACGTTAGCTGAAATACTAGTTCTGGCCCAATAGATTAAAATCTCACATATGACAGTAAGACGCAAATGAACAGACCGCAGTTGCCATAGTGACAGTTTATGATTCCAGGCGCCCTAATTAAAAGGTAGCGTAGCCCGAAAGCAAAGACCGAATGACCTTTGGCATGAGTACCACTCACTGGTCATAAGGAAAGAGTACACACATAGTAACCATGCTTACCTACCCAGTAAAACGATTAATGTGTGAACATCACTCACAAAGCTTTAACAACTAATCATAGCAAAAACCTATTTTCCTCACTAATAAATGTTATGTATGATAAATCAGCTCCATTTGCACTGACCAAACACACTGATTACCAAGTGGTTGCCAATTTACAAGGTAGACTAGGGTAGATTATGAAGAAAACAGGACAGTCCAGACGGCATTCTTAAGTCTCGTGAATGACACGACGTCACTCAAGTTAAAACCCAACGGTCAAGCGCAGTTGAATTGGGAAATAACGTCCATTAACAGTTCGGAAAATTACTTATTGTGTGAACCATCAACAACAGAGGAAACAAAAAACCACCCGCCACAACAAATGATAAGAGAACACGAATGGATATAACTCAGTTTATGAGGACATAATAAACATAAATCCATATTAGGATGTATAAAAATAAAGTCAGAAATCTAAGTAATAAAGTAACATAATGACAATCATACGTAAACAATAATAAAACAGTGAGTATTTAGAGAGGTCAGTACAGAACTAAAGTTGCCTGGGATACGGGCAGTATCTGATTGTATGAGCATGATCACCAGTCGCATGGCAATTGGGGCATGAGAGCACACGTAACACCGGACATGTCACCCGCCCATCTTGATCTCTAACCTAAAACAACCAATATTGACCATAAATAAAATAGCAATTAGCACAATAATGATGAATACAATATTTGTAATGAATAGGTTCACGAAGGAAACAACACTTACTTCATGAGTTATGTATATTTCTGGTAACTCGCCATTGTTCCGGCAAAATGCACATAGAACATAATCTTCCTCCAACTTTCTGCGAACTGACAGGAATATTTGTTTAAGAGAAGCAGGCATTTCCAACAAGCAAAAAGAGTTGAACCTGTGGAGGATGAAGCTTCGGTAAATAACATACTTACCAAGAGTGGAGTTTTAACGTCTCACGATCCCACTTCTTATTTCTATGGGAAGAACGGGATATCACTCGACGGCATCCAGATGCTTTGGATTTACTAGTAAGTATAACAAGAGCGGCCCCAATGGCATCACGCAGTGGCAAGCCATTCGAGGCACCTAAGTTAGGAAGTGAAGTGAATAAGAAGGTTCGTGTCAGCCCGATAAGTAAAAAAGTAAACGAGGCGTGGTGCCTCGTTTATCAAACCAGACTCACCTCCATCGATAACCATATTTGCAGGATACTCGTCACAGGGAAGGGGGCGATTATTTTTTCTGACCGAAATCAACTGGTTGGTTTGGTTGGTGAGTTGCGTCTTATTGACATCACCGCAGGTGACAGGACTATCTACAAAAATAGAATATCCTGAAGTTACAATTCCAAATAACTAGGAATACAGTAATAAAGTAAAATACTTACGACTGAAAATATTATCTGATCTCGGTAACCGGATTTCAGATTGAGTATTGTGTCCACATCCACATAAGTTCTCAAAAGTCTCCATGTAGTTTGGTGAAACACCAAAGGGATTTAATCTAACAGCATCAAAATCGAGATCTGAAAACATATGTGATTGTTAGTACCAGAACTGATAAGTGAACGTATTCAAATGGTAATAGTAGAGAAAGTCAGGAACTTACGTGTTGATTTACTTTCCTTGGGGTATCTAGTATGAGAATCTGGATTACGAACAAATGGAGTAATGTTATCTCCAGTATGATATCCGATACCAGAGAGACGATCTGGAGACTCTGGGCTTATTGATAATTTGTTCAATGCAACCAAAAGTGGGTCACAAAGGGATGGAACGTATCCAGCTACAACAGATTAATGTTATTGATTTCGAATCGCAGAAGTAAGACTCACCACAACTAACATATGGAACATTTTCATCTGAGACTTCGGACTTCTGTGTGGACCAGAGGTCATAACACGGCGTCCTACGGAAGTCCAGCATTGTTCTAGATAATCATAACTACACGTCGAAATATATGGTTATACTAACCAATAAGATGGAAGCATATTAAATTTCTACCTGTACAGAAAAACCGAGATATCCAAGGGAAGAAGCATACATTTAAGCCAATTAAAAATTAAAATTAATCTTGGAGTATTTAGCCAATAAGGATTGATGGTTAGGGTTGAAATCCTAATACTGAACAATTTTATTTTGTGGTTGCAAGTTCATTGGTCAATTCGGTTTCGTATCCGATCTGATACCTTGACAACAAACCAACTTGTTGATGACTTTTCAATGACTCAGTTTTACACCATTAGAGTGTGTGCGATACCACATGATCCATTATCCTAACGACGCAATTTGTTTATTGCATTCACCTAATCATGTGAAAATACCAACTCAAGTATCACATGAATCTAGTTGGTTTGATTATAAGAGGGTAATCTAAGGTCTAACAGGTGAAGTGCATATGATATAAAATCTAATGCCTTGGATTGTTCTAATTTTATTTGCACAATGGTGACCGGTAGTTGTCTGTTTCTCACTGAATGCCAGCACTTGCATCTGTTAATGTTTTTATTAGGAATTGAACTCAAAACTTTCATAAATTACGATGTACATTGGACAGTATGTTTATTCCTAATAAATTTGAAACAAGTTCATCAGTTTAGTGTTAATTGTCAAATGAGAAGTCCGACTAAAATTCTATGCAATCATTCCATTTTGTTTCTACTGTCACGGAAATAATATGACAACAAGAAATAGAACAGCCTTCAAGAGTAAATTATACTACTATAGGATATATAATAACAGTTATTGGCATTCCAAGTAACTCGTACTTCATAAATTGGCCTCCTAAGATCACTCGGTGTCAGCTATATTTTAGGACCTAAATTTCTATAACATCATTAAATAAAATCTTACAATCCTATTATGGTCAGCATTTCGGAAGTTTGAGTCTAGCTTGGAGGTATACTGCGTACTAAAAGGATGATTGTTTTGAGGCAATAAAAAACAAGAAAAAGTGAACTGATGAATCAGTAAATACATAAGATGCATTCATAGTGAATAATTAAGCCAATCGGTTACCATAAATACTAAAATAGTCTAATAATCAATACTAAGAGTTGATGAAGTACGTTTTCAAATACATAGAAATTCCTCTTTTTGGTTTTCTGATATATCTGTTCAATTTCAGGATTTACAATACATCAAACAGAACAAATAATGATGAATATCTAATTCAGCATGATATAGATAGACAATAATGAAATGCATTTAGTCACGAGATTAGTCAACCTAGATATCACTGATTATATAAGCACTTAAAATAATGAAAATACTCATTTCATATTACTAATCATCCTAATTCAGTAGATAGTGGATACTTCACTTTTGTGTTAAAAATGATGCTTTAGCATTAAAAAAAAACCCAGAATAAGCTTTCATACATTCTTAATAGGATCTAAATATTTTTATTTGACGATTGGTAGTTAGATTCACTTAGTATTTTTCGTTTGGACCTTCCCATTGATGTTTAGGACTGCAATTGGTCAGTCTCTAATTAGCATATATGCATTCTGTGCGTTTTGCCTCGATAAAGCCTTTATTCACAAGCATTGTAAGCAAAGATGGATATTGGCTAGTAGTGGAATCCAGAACGCACGTTTCGTTCTATTTGGAACTCATCAGCTGGATGTACCTACATCTCAGAGGTGATGTTCACTCTGGGACTCAAATCCAATACCTTTCTCTTCAAACGTCATCCCGTTATCCACTTACCTACTGAATCCTGATAGTTAGGATGAAAATGTACTTTACTCTATCAGGTTGTTATTCTATCAGATTATCTTCCTATTCTTTCCTATTGTGTTTTGTATAACAAATATATTCATACATCAACAATGAAGTATTCCTTTCTAACTATTCTAATAACTAATTATAGAGTATCATATATTGTTTTGTTTAAAGTTATGTTATTGTTGTTGTTTTTTTATTTTAAAAAAATGTCATTGTGCGCTCAATTTATCTTAAACAACTCCCTCCATAAATATATATGTTGGTTTCTATCAAATGTAGTATACATATATATATATACTCATTGTTCTGAAGTTTATATTGATTATAATAAACACAATAACTTGTTAAAAATCTTGTTTTTACAGGATAATTCAATGTTCAATCTTTTCTTGATCCTGTTCACTCTTGTTTCCGATTCTATTATATTTCTTGTTTATAATTAAAGTGTTAATATTAATCATTGTTTAGTTAGTTTATATTTAATTGTGTCTATACTTACTATATAAGCAGAAAAACTTAGTCCATATTGATATTGATAAATGAAATGAAACGATAAATGTGTTGTTTTATTATTCCTATTTTCATATTGTATTGATTCTTTAATAACGCTGAGCTCTTTTGTTTAGATTTTGTGAAGAAATTGGAAGGGAAAAGGTTATCGTTGTGTGTGTGTGTGTATGTTTTTTAAGTACACACTCTTTACTCATATGTTCACATGTGTATGACAAGTACAGAAGAGTAGAGAATACAATTTTGGTTCAAAATACGTCATCAGTGTCCTAGATTTTGATATTGGTAACACATTTAACTAGATTCAAACCAAGTTATAACTAATCGGTAGTCTGTGTGTGTGTGTGCCTGTGTTTTATGCCACATGAAATCAAACAATTTAATTTGTTTCATTTCTAAAACCATTAAAAATTAATTAATCAAAAAGCATTGACGGATGATTCAGTATGAATATGTATACGTTCGTTCCTGTTTGAAGTTTTTTACAGGATAAAATATAACAAAACTCGTTAATACATGTACCGCATTTATTATATATTTTGAAACATTTCTTGATCCTCCCAAATTCTGATATCTACATCACACAACAAGGCATTTAAAAACTACAAGAGAAAAACTGATGACAGCTACAATTCCAACGATTACTTTTTCAGACATATGTTGGGATACCTGAGGTTAAAATCAGTAATACAAACATCTGGTAAATAAGATTAGATTACAGACACACACACACACAACTCAGTGTAGTACAAATGGAATTACTTAGTAGCATACAGGTGAAAAAAACAGCGCACGATATGCAAATTTAACTTGCTGTGGTTTCACAATTAAACAGTGATATAAACAAAAACTGACATTGTACGTAACTGTCAAGGTTGGACGTGTTAGTTTCTCAGCCATCATTTGCTAAATATAAGCTAGTGAATTCAGTTAGCTAAATTATTGATAATTTTACATCTATTATGATTCTGGACTCAACCAATAAATGACCAAAACTGATGACCATAATCGTTGGACGCTGCACACTTATGGAGCTCTGCAAATTCTGCAAGTAACTACACGAGAAGTATCTGGACTTTTGTTCCCGTGAATCCTGATTATATTCCAGTGTCTTAGCAGTGTGAGCTGAACAAAATGATCGTTTTATACCTCAATATAATTATTAAAAATTTGAATTATTTTTCTTCACAACAAGAAACCGTCATGATTAGTGTTCGATTGTCTGTTATAAATTTTTTGATTGGTAAACTCTCTGTCACAGTCTCTTTCTTTCTCTCTCTCTCTCTCTGACCACTGCATAACACCGTTAAATAGGATTTCTTCACTGTTTGTCATACGGCTGTTAGTGTATCACTATTTGACTAAAAGGTTAAAATGGTGTTGTGTAATCCATCCCAGATTTCATTCACTATAACATATCTTCTTTTTCAAGACTACAATAAATATATTTCAATAGAACAATGAGAAGGCTTAATTCTATCAAAATTTATGAAAGGGACTAATTATTAATAATATTCAGAAGGGGTTTGTGGAGATTTCAGTATATTTCAAAGTTGAAATCATGAGTCAATTGAAGCTAGACCATCATCGAAAACCTGGAAGCACTGGACGGCCGTTTCGTCCTATTATGGGACTCCTCAGCAGTGCGCACCCACGATCCCGCATTCGCGAGATTCGAACCCAGGACCTACCAGTTACGAGCCAGAGCCCTTAACCGATAGACTTCAATTGACTCATGATTTCAACTTTGAAATATACTGAAATCTCCACAAACCCCTTCTGATTATAATCATATGCACACTAGTGACTGACTTCAAGATACATGTCCTGGAGTTTTAGTGGGGAGCAGTGACCAGTGGAGTTCAACCACGTCTGTTGTGAGGTAACAACTCACTGAAGGCAATTGGTGAAGTGTCGCTCAGAATTCGTGGATCAGTTGAAGTTAGACATTAACACCGTTGGATGCCGGCTCAGTGGTCTATCGGTTAAGGGCTCTGGCTCGTAACTGGTAGGTCCTGGGTTCTAATCTCGCGAGTGCGGGATCGTGGGTGCGCACTGCTGAGGAGTCCCATAATAGGACGAAACGGCCGTAAAGTGCTTCCAGGTTTTCGATGGTGGTCTAGCTTCAATTGACTCATGATTTCAACTTTGAAATATTAATAATATATTTCAGGGAATCGTACATTAATCGCCGAGTCCATCATATGTGTTATGGCTAAATTAGAACTCATTTATATAAATTTATTTTTGATATAAACATTAAGGACTCAAATAACATTTAGATACTTGTATTTAAAGAACACTCTAATTATGAGGGCTAGTGATGCTACCCGGATGTCCAAACTTAAGGAGATAGCCCAGCGTTTGAATGTGAGACTTCACTGATAAAAATTTAACATTGGCTACGCAAACGTTGGATTCTCCATCATCTATGGTTGATTTAAACATTTAAGTCTCTTTCATCTAAAGAAAACCCCAATGATTTCTCATTTATGGATCCATTCTACATTTTGTACACAGCTAAGCCCCATAAAGGGAGAAAAACATAGATATACTAATGTAATTCCATCTTGTATATTTGGACTTGTTTGGGCTAGCCTACATATTTTAATATAAATTTTGTAACAAAGTACATCGATAAGCAACTTAAAATATGGGTGACAAAGCAAAACACGTCAGTGCATAAC